CCCCAAGTGCAGCGCGGTGCGCCACCGACACTGGGCCGAGTTCCGCAGTGAGCACATCCTCCATGGGAGCAAAAAGCTCAAATAGGTGACGGCGATGCGGCAACAGCCGCAGAATCTGTTCCTTGCGATGAGACAAAAAGAGGGCAGTGGGAAGAAGCATAAAGGGAGCAACGGGAGACACGGTGGGCAAGAGAGCAAGGAAGTCACCAACCCTGCCAGTGGCACCGCACAACAAAAGACTGGAAATTGCCTTCATAAATATTCACATTTTTCCCCTCAAGCCCCTTGCGCGCAGCTTTGAGTGCTGCCGCGCCCTCAAGCATGACGAGGATGCACTTCAGTTACTTCCGAGGGACGCATCGGCCCGGCCCCGGCGCATAGTGGCGGTGGAGACAAAAAAAAAAGAGGGAAAAGGAAGTGGAAGGAGGATGAAACACAGGGGAGAGGAGTAAACGAAAAGCCACACAAATAGGTACCAAAACAACTTCGTAGCCTCATCAGAAAAGATGATGCGTACAATGCTGCAGGGCGCATAGGCCAATACTACGCGGCTACAGCGAGAATGCATCCGGACCCTCATAAAAAATATATAAAAAATATAAAAGAGAACGACACAAACAAACAAACTGTTGTTAATTAGCCAAAAATAAAACGCTCGAGGAAGTTGTTACAAAAAAACAATGAATCTTGACAAGTCACAATTAAAAATGAAGGCAACACAAACACTTTACATAAATGCCCAATTGAGCTTGGCCTCGTGCCGCACAACTATGGCCTTAAATATAATCACATGGCTAAAAACAATGAACCAGCGCCACACCGTGACCCTCGCGGTAATGGCGGAAATTGCCGCGCCGTCTGACCCTCCCGTGCGGCCTAGCCTCACATCTGCCAGTTTGCTCACCGTGCCGCACTACATCATCATTAGTCTTATTCTAAGCCTCCATCAGTGCCGTGCCACCGCCAGATGATCAATCGCTATCGGAGTCCACAAAGGGGCCAAACTCCACAGACGCCGTTTCTGCGTGACGTAAAAAGTGGAATCGAGTGGCTTCATCGAGATCCATGTACTTTCTTTGATGCATCCTGATGCTACGGAAAGCCTCCCGGTTGCCCTCTGAGAGAAGGTCAGGCCTCCTTCCTTCACTCAACCGCACGGGCGGTGCGGGCATGTAAGGATAAAAATAAGGCTGTCCCCCTGATGCAATCTGTGGTGTCCTCCCTTGACTTATCCGCACGGGCGGTGTAGGCGTTTCAGGGTAAGAATAACGCTGTCCCACTGAGAGAACCTCTGTTCCCTTCCCTCCACCCAACCACATAGGTTGTACGGGCATGTACGAAAAGAAATAAGGTTCCTCAACACTTTGGTATGCACTCCGCTCCTGCGGTCCGGCAAGGGGGTTTGAGACACCCTGCACACCACCATGGCTACTTCCAACTGAGCCGCCATATGTTCTATTCCCTGCCTGCCTTTTTTTGCGACGCAAGCGGCGTACAATCACCACAACAATAATAAAAATAAACAATACAATGAAAATGCTGCAAACAATAAGGATAATCTTCGTAGGATCAGCGCGAGACTCATCACCAGGAATAGGATCGGGAGAAGGCACCGTCATCGATAGGGTGGCTGTCCTTTTCTCGGTCTGTGTTAGGGTGGGTGACGCAGTGTAACCTGGAGTGCCCGTCCTTTTCTCGGTCTCCGTTAGGGTGGGTGACGCAGTGTGAGCTGGAGTGCCCGTCCTTTTCTCGGTCTCCGTTAAGGTGGGTGACGCAGTGTAAGCTGGAGTGCCCGTCCCTTTCTCGGTCTGTGTTAGGGTGGGTAACGCAGTGTGAGCTGGAGTGCCCGTCCTTTTCTCGGTCTCCGTTAGGGTGGGTGACGCAGTGTGAGCTGGAGTGCCCGTCCTTTTCTCGGTCTCCGTTAGGGTGGGTGACGCAGTTTGAGCTGGAGTGCCCGTCCTTTTCTCGGTCTCCGTTAAGGTGGATGACGCAGTGTAACCTGGAGTGCCCGTCCTTTTCTCGGTCTCCGTTAAGGTGGATGACGCAGTGTAACCTGGAGTGCCCGTCCTTTTCTCGGTCTGCGTTAGGGTGGGTGACGCAGTGTAACCTGGAGTGCCCGTCCTTTTCTCGGTCTGCGTTAGGGTGGGTGACGCAGTGTAACCTGGAGTGCCCGTCCCTTTCTCGGTCTGTGTTAGGGTGGGTGACGCAGTGTGAGCTGGAGTGCCCGTCCTTTTCTCGGTCTCCGTTAAGGTGGGTGACGCAGTGTAACCTGGAGTGCCCGTCCTTTTCTCGGTCTGCGTTAAGGTGGGTGACGCAGTGTAAGCTGGAGTGCCCGTCCTTTTCTCAGCCTCCGTTAAGGTGGATGACGCAGTGTAACCTGGAGTGCCCGTCCTTTTCTCGGTCTCCGTTAAGGTGGGTGACGCAGTGTAAGCTGGAGTGCCCGTCCCTTTCTCAGCCTCCGTTAAGGTGGGTGACGCAGTGTAAGCTGGAGTGCCCGTCCTTTTCTCGGTCTGCGTTAAGGTGGGTGACGCAGTGTAACCTGGAGTGCCCGTCCTTTTCTCGGTCTCCGTTAAGGTGGGTGACGCAGTGTAAGCTGGAGTGCCCGTCCTTTTCTCGGTCTCCATTAAGGTGGGTGACGCAGTGTGAGCTGGAGTGCCCGTCCTTTTCTCGGTCTGCGTTAAGGTGGGTGACGCAGTGTAAGCTGGAGTGCCCGTCCTTTTCTCGGTCTGCGTTAAGGTGGGTGACGCAGTGTAAGCTGGAGTGCCCGTCCCTTTCTCAGCCTCCGTTAAGGTGGGTGACGCAGTGTGAGCTGGAGTGCCCGTCCCTTTCTCAGCCTCCGTTAAGGTGGGTGACGCAGTTTGAGCTGGAGTGCCCGTCCCTTTCTCAGCCTCCGTTAAGGTGGGTGACGCAGTGTGAGCTGGAGTGCCCGTCCCTTTCTCAGCCTCCGTTAAGGTGGGTGACGCAGTGTGAGCTGGAGTGCCCGTCCCTTTCTCAGCCTCCGTTAAGGTGGGTGACGCAGTGTGAGCTGGAGTGCCCGTCCTTTTCTCGGTCTCCGTTAAGGTGGGTGACGCAGTTTGAGCTGGAGTGCCCGTCCTTTTCTCGGTCTCCGTTAGGGTGGGTGACGCAGTTTGAGCTGGAGTGCCCGTCCCTTTCTCGGTCTGCGTTAAGGTGGGTGACGCAGTGTGAGCTGGAGTGCCCGTCCCTTTCTCAGCCTCCGTTAAGGTGGGTGACGCAGTGTGAGGTGGAGTGCCCGTCCCTTTCTCGGTCTGCGTTAGGGTGGGTGACGCAGTGTGAGGTGGAGTGCCCGTCCCTTTCTCAGCCTCCGTTAAGGTGGGTGACGCAGTGTGAGCTGGAGTACCCGTCCTTGTTCCTTTCGGCGTAAAAGTGGGCATCGTCGCCGGGGGACTCGTCGTCGCCGGAGGACTCGTCGTCGCCGGAGGACTCGTCGTCGCCGGGGGACTCGTCGTCGCCGGGGGACTCGTCGTCGCCGGGGGACTCGTCGTCGCCGGAGGACTCGTCGTCGCCGGAGGACTCGTCGTCGCCGGGGGACTCGTCGTCGCCGGGGGACTCGTCGTCGCCGGGGGACTCGTCGTCGCCGGAGGACTCGTCGTCGCCGGAGGACTCGTCGTCGCCGGGGGACTCGTCGTCGCCGGAGGACTCGTCGTCGCCGGGGGACTCGTCGTCGCCGGAGGACTCGTCGTCGCCGGAGGAGGACTTGTGGGCTCCGGGTCCTTATGCTTCCCATTGCTATGCCCCATGTCGCCTTACAGTGCACCCACGGCCTTCTCCTTCAGTCAAAAACAACTTCTACTATGACTTGCACCAAAGGTACAACTAAGCGGGGGGCAAGAAAAAGGCGGCGGAGGAGCGGGAGAGAAGAGCACAGAGCACGCAGTCCATCACCACCACACCCGGCAGCTGGAAAAAACAAACAAAACACACCACGCAGGCGACAGAGACAAACCAAAAAAAAAAAAAAAAAATACCGCCGCCACGAACAGGCCAATGCAACCACACCAGGGACGGCTTTCTCCACTCCCAAATGGTCGGAAGAGGGAACCTCCGCGGATGCGATTACCACAAAAATCGTATTACGCACGCTCTTCCAGAGTCTCTCACAGAGACAGAAGTAAAACACACGCACAAGAAAGTAAAAAAAGAAATGAAAAGGAATAAAATACATCGCATGGTGTCATCCCAATTACAGAGACTCATGACTGAAATTGTCCGAGTTACGCCCACACACACACACAAATACACACACACACACTCTCTCTGTATACAAAACATAAATCGGGGATAATGAGCAGGAACATTGAAGTGAGGAAAACAAACGCCTACGGTTGCCTGTAATCCACCCACATGCTCCAACACACACACACACACACACACACACACACACACAGTGCCGCGGCACACCGTCAAGGACAAGAAAAAAAGGGAAGAAAAACTCCGTATAGCAATATGAGATGGGCGTTCGCGTTGCTGCGTCCCGGACATCCCAGGGAAGGGGCGGCACGAGACACGATTTCCCCCGCCCGCCGCCGCGCAGTCAAATAAGAAGAGTCTCAGGATAGTCACAGATATAAACAAAACAGCCTCCTCAACGCCACCATGTCGGCCCATCGTTCTTTATTTTTCCGTCGGCTCCTCTTCGTTCCTCAGGGCACCGTTCACGCCGCAGGGAATAGAACTGGGATGCGAAGCCGCCTCATAATCGCGAGGTCGGCTCAATGGCCATATAACAAAGGAAAAAACCACGCACACCTCAAAGTAAAACGAAAAAGTAAAAACACGTCGACATGCGTGTGGGGCATCAAAACAAAACAAAGTGTAAAATAAATTCAAAATGCACGCACAGGAGGACGTAGCCCCCATCCAGAAAACCATCGAGTACCAATCGCGTTGGCGCCCTTTCTGCCTCTCACCCGCTATCCATCTACTGCCTCTCTCTTACGCTGTTCTTGGCTCCAAAGCTCACAGAGCACGTCCCACTAAACACATTACCATTGCGACCACCACCACCTTTGCGGCTCTTCGAATGGCTCACAAGAAAGGGCTGCGGATGCACCGGTCGTGTGCCACAAATGCCAGGTGCATGTGCTCTGTCTTCCTTCACGTCCTCGTGGGGATCCTCCGTCGGGAATTGATAGCGTAGGAGAACAGAAAACGAGGTTTTCGTGTCGTCTGCCTCGTCAGTCCACCTCGCCTCCTCCGTGCTCACTGAAGGGTAACTGCAGGCCTTTGCGAGGCTATTCGTCTTCGGCTGCCCGAACCTCCCGGTGGTGGCGCTGGGGTCTGCGCGCACAGCAACGGGTCCGCCGTCGTTGCTTTGCATACGCGGCAAAAAGTACGAAAGGAGGTTCAGTAATCGGTCCAGGTCATCAGCGTCCTCGCTCAGGGAAGGCGATTGAGAGGGGCATTCGTCGAGGTGTGAAGAAGAGCCTGAAAAGCTGGGAGATCCGCTGCCAACGGATCTCCCCTCACGCCACACATCCCATGCGTTGGTGAGGGAGGAAAATGAGAAATTTTGCTTCGCGTCCCCCTGCTGCTGCTGCTGCATCGAGAGGCAGTCAGC